CTAGGTCTACAACTTCTGCGCATTTAAAGAGAAAGGGGAAAGCTGTTCCATCAACTTCACCTGTTTCATCTCAGTATCTGGGATCATTAAAGGTGTTGGAGGATAAACGCATGCAGATGAAAAGCCCAGAATTCAACAAAGTAGATAATTTAAGGGCAGCTGTTTATCAGGTAGATTTAAAAAATTAACAAACCAACAAACAGAATTGAGCGTGTAAAGGTCCTGATACAGGGATTAGCACCTCATATTTTCTTGAAATCAATATTTTTTACTATTTTCCTTTGACTGGCTTACAGGTATAGTAATCCTTTTATTCTGTTGGTTAGATTTTGTAGCTGTGATTTCAGAATCTTAGATGGTTTTGATCACAATGTTTGTGTGACGACAGCTTAGTTTTCCACATGGGATGCTATTTAACTAGCACATGGAAGGGCTAAGAGTAATTTTGGTGGCCATTATATTGGTTCTGCTGTTTCCTTTATCTTAAGAGGACTTTAAAAATATTATAATGATTCTTACAGAACTGGTTGGAAAAGAAAAATCTCCTTCTACTGGAATTAAAGAGGAGTGAAAAGGAAAAAGCTGAAATTCTTAGGAACGATACTGAAAAGGTTGGTTTGCATTATTTTTTAAAAAGAAGTTTACAAACTATGATTCTTTGAAGTGTGCTTCCCACCTAAGTGCATCCCTCTGCTTTTGTAATGTATCTGGTTTTCTCCAAATAGCACAAGGTGATGTGAAACAATAAATAGCATCTCCTGCTTGTTGGGTTTGTGGCAAACTGTGTCTGTCCAATGCTTCCCTACACGTTTACATAAGGTTTGTTAGAATTGTGCTTCCTAGATTAATTTTCAGGTCAGTTTACAAAGACCTTGGGATACTCAGCTCTTACAGTGCTAAGTTTTGTTTTGTGCATGAGAACATGAGGCATCCACTCCCTTCCTCAAGAGATGCTTACCTACAGAGGACTCTTACCTTGAATAGTATCATTCTTTGATTCGGCTTTTAAGTATTTAGTATGTTTCACTTCTAAGTACTTAACATGTATTTCTTATTCTTCTACATATACTTGGCAGTAGCTCGTGTCATTCAATTAAATTAAAAATGGGAATAGAAAAAAAACACTATATATGCTTTAAATTTAATTGTAATACTTGTAATGTTATCAGGAAATCAATTTCTGTTTCTTTATTGCTCCATTTAGCAATAAGTTTAAAGCATACTATTTCATTTAGAAT